CCCTGAAATCGGTAACGGAGATTATTTTGCGTTATTTTAGGTTATCTTATTGTGTAAACGTGTTATATGAACGTGGTTTATGAGGGAATGAATTTGAATTTTTTGATGTTTTGAACTGAATTTGATTGTTTTGTGACGATGTGCTGATTGATCTAGAGGATGTGTATGAAGGGAGGGTATGCTGACCCAAATTTTAACCCCGGGCAGGATGGAAACCGGTATGGGGCTGTGCAGATTGCAGGGTGTTTAGGTAATTGAAGTATATAGCAGTAAGTAAAGTAAGTAAGAGGAGATAAGTAAAGTAAAGTATATTGTAAGTAAAATGGGGTAAGTGAAATAAGTAAGGTGTATTGCAATCTGTATAGATTCATATGGGTTTATTTTAAAGAGGCACAGCACCGTATGGCACCCGGTAATAGCACACCCACCTTATATTGAGAGACGGCCAGATGAGCACGATTGGTTTTCGCGTCGATGACCGCAGATATGATATCACCAGTGCTTTGACAGACAGCACAAGCGGTGACCCGAAAACGAGATCGATGGGAGGGGGGAAATGAGGCCGGGTGCAGTGTGGACGAGGAGGCACTCACTGAAATATCCCGGAGAAAGCGACCTGAAATGTTTAATTTTTAATGGTGATTTTTAAAATGTTGTAAAGAGAAGTGTATCGTAATGCATCCGGTCATATTGCACCAGTCTTATATTGGGAAGCGGGTTGGTGGATAGGTTATTGTGGTTATCGTTATTATAGGTTGTCGTTGGATTGTTATTATGGGCTCGGGGATGTTTTTAGAGGGGGTCTGGGGTCCGAGGTTTGAGTCTTGGTTGATTTTTTCAGGCCTGGAAATAGAGGGTGGGGGGTATTTCTCTGGAGAGTGTGAGTGAAATGTTGTGGAAAATTGACCTGAAATTGAAAAAAAATTTGCCAAAAAAAATTCCGACGGACCTCCGGGATCAAAAAGCAGTAGGGAAGAGCATGTACCGACGAGAATCTCGTCGTTGAGACCTATGCAAACGCAAGTGACGGGTGCGGAGTCGCAGTGTGCGCCAACGTCGAAACTGAACAGTGGCCTGAATGAGGCATCGAACACGAATATCTGCAAAGGGGGGTGGTGATTGACAGGGTTTTGGGGGTTTTTGGGGATTTTACGAAAAATGTTACGAGTTTTAGCGTTTTTCATGAAGAATATTCTGATTTTTACGTGTTTTTGTTCGAAATATCGTGATTTTACGAGTTTTTAACGCGGATTTTAGTATGTTTTACGGGGACACGCGTAAATTTTTGTTTGGGGTGGTGCCAAATTGGCAATCTGGGGTTTGGCGGTTCGTCCCGCACAGTTTGGTGTGGCGATTCCTTCCTCACGAGGTTTTGGTACTAGGTTTGGCGAATCGTCCCCACCCCAGTGAGGTTTTGAAATTTGTTATAAAATTAATTAGGCGTGCGTATTGTTTTCATTGTTGCGGTTGATGCTGTGCGGGTCGGTGTGGTGGTTGTTTAATTTGTAATTAATTATTTTTTGATAATTTGTTATTGATTTTAACAATAATTATTTTTGTACTTGCCAGCTTTATAATTTATTGTTAAATTGATTTTGGTGCCTACCTTTGCGCATCCAGTGTCAGCGATTAATATTCTGCTTCGACTATCAACGGTTATATCGATTGGTTCCATAAATTCGGAGAAACTCATGACCTGAAGATGAGAGATTTCAGATGTGGGATTTAATTTTTGGAAATTTTTTCAGATTTTGGGAATTTTTTCACGGAAGATGGGTTTTTTCCAATAGAGTGGGGGTGATTTCAGGTTTAGGTGAGGTTTATTGGGGGAATTTTTGGTCATATATGAAAATTTTCGGGGAATTTTTAACAGACCTGCAACGTTTCACCGTTATGTGTGCACTTGGTGATCTCCTTGGTACGCCAATTCAGGGTTAGGATGTCCCCTGATGGTAGAATGGTCATACCGACGGTGCTTGCGTCCTTCAGTGCCTCACTGTGAATATCGTCCAGGTACTCACCGTTTCCATCGAGCATTTTGACTGGAAATGTATTTTGAAGTAGTAATTATTATTACTTATATGGTAAAAGTAATGGTTTTAATGTGTGAAGTAATTTGGTAATAAGTAACGTGTTTAGTAACGTGCAGTACAAGTAATATAGTAACGGTGGTTTAGATTGTATAATAAGTAAGTGAAGTATGATATAACAAATAGAGGATAATATAAGTAATATAGTAAAGTAATATGTGGTAATGAGTACAGTAATTTGATGATACAGTAATGTGGTGTAGTAATTTGGTAATACAGTAATGTATACAGTATTTTNCCCAAACCGAACGAGCCGAATTGCCACCTGGGTGCATGATGTCCGCTCACAACGACTGTATAAGGGGAATTCTTGATAGGTCGTCCAAATATGGTAACGTGTACGTCGTATTCACCAGCCTCGTATGCACTGAAATTAATTTTAGGTTATTTTGGTGGTGGAATTTTGCTGATATTTTTTGGAGTTTTTATGTCGTTATTGTTGCGTTAATTTTTGTCACTGTAATTGATTAATTAATTAAGGTATATATCAATATATTAGTATTAATTTAGGGTATATTAATTAGAATGTTAATTAGGATATTATATTAAATAGGATTTGTATTAATGGATTGAGAAGTAACTATAAGATATGTGATAATTGTATGGCATATAATAATAATACTTACATAAAGGAGATTGTGTAGGTACCGTCATCGTTATCATTGATTGTAGCGCTGACAGAGGAGGTGGCAGAGTTGATCCATCGTGATCGTTCGTGGCTGATATTCGAGTGATTGGAGTCGTGATTCGAGTCGGTGTGATTGGTTGTTGATATGATGT